CACCCGCGTAAATCGATTCCAGCACCGAGTTCCACCCGCAGTGAGTCACGAATCCGCCTACAGAGTCATGATTCAGCACCTCCACCTGTGGTGCCCATGCCTTGACTACGAGCCCTCTGTCACTCGTACGATCCAAGAAACCCTCCGGAAGTAAAGAATCTAAAGCTGGGTCCGGTCCTGCCGTAAAACCATGGCTTTTGTTAATAGAAGGTGGATTACGCACCACCCACAAGAATCTTTGGCCGCTTTTCTCTAACCCAACAGCTATTTCCATCAATTGTTCCTTGGTGAACAACCCCATGCTACCAAAACACAAGAACACAACGCTTTGACTCGGTTGCGAGTCAAGCCACTTCAAGCACTCGATTCCTTTATCATCATCATCATCACCACCACCACCATTTCCTTTACTTCTTCCTTTATTTGTATCAATCAACGGTCCAATACAGAAAACAGGGGGCGTTTGACTTGGACCGTCTGGAATTGAAAAACCTTCAGACAACGCTTTGGCGGCCTTGGGCTCAAGTGTTTCGAATGTGTTGATAATAATTCCAGCTGATTTTGCCAAATGGGCGGTGCAGTTTATCAGGAAATCGTATGCTATGGTGTCTCTTATAAGCGTCGGTTCTGGTAAATGGTTTAAAGGGATGGGAGGCAAGCAGGGAAGGTGAAAAAGAGCGTTGAGATTTTTGAAGTTCTCTGTTGTGTTTCGGTGAATACTAGGCATGTGAAGGTAAAGAGCGAGGCAACTTGCACCTGAAGTGAAGAAATAATAGGCCGGGATGTTGAGTTTGGCGGCGATTTCGAGAGCTGGATAGCAGAAGAGATCGATGATGAAGGAGTGAACGGTTGAAGTGAGGGAGATTGTAGTCAGGGCGGCGTCGACATGGATGTTGTTGAGGTGGATGAGGTCTCGCATGAGGGCTTCGACGGAGTCGTAAGCAGCGGGGTCTAGAGAGATGATGGGGAGTTGGTGGAAAGAAATGGAAGGGGTGATGGCGGAGACAGCGGCGATGTATGAAGCAGTGGAGCCTGCGTTAAATGGCGGGGTGGTGATGAGGATGATGATGGTGAAGGACGGACGGTGGGTTAGAAGTAGTTTGCCTAGCTCCACCATGGATATCAGATGGCCCATTCCCGGCGATGGATACAGTACTATGGCCTCCATTGTGCTATTTCATGAAACTGAAATGGAGTTGGAAATTTTAAATTTTATAAAGAGCTATCACTCCTACTATTCCAGAAAATTTCATCCAAACCATAAAGTCGTCTTAAGCATATATAAAGAAAAAAAATTGGTGTGGGGTAGAGGGTTAGGAAGAGTTAATAAACATTGATGTTAATTTCGTCTTATGCATGGATACTGACTTACATAGTACCAGTACTTAATATTTATTTAAGAATTGTCTAAGTTTAATACTAATGAATATGATATCAATCAAATGACTTGAGTAGTCGACCATATCCAATGATACTCAATAATTTGCAATCACAGCAAAAGGAGGGTGAAAAAGTGTTGGCACAACAGCCGTATCAGCATCAGACACATTAGCATTCTAGAAACGTTTCGCTGGCGAGTAATTTTAAATAAACCATAGGTTTGGTAACTGTTGGAATGGAGGATAATACTGAAAATTTGAAAATTATTTATTTAATACTAATCTGCTCTTGCATCTAAGTATTTTGTTTATTAATTAATGTATAATTTTTTATTTAAAAAATAACATTTGAATCTCTTTTTTTCCTGTTTTAAAAAAAAAAATACTAACCTACTTTTATATTTTCTCGTGGGTAAAAAACCACGGTGTGCGTTAGATAGTTGTAATGCAAGTTGTTGTAAACATATATAAAATTGATAACCTCTCTGCCCTTCTTACTGGTAGCGGGGATACTTTTCATGGACAAGCAGTTGAGATCAAAGATCATGTTCATGTGCTTACTCTAAGTTTCTCAAATAAACAATTGGATCATCATTTATCTCCTCTAAATCGCCAAAAATTAAGTTCAAATGAAATTGCAGATCAGAAGCTTGGTTCCAACAAATAAATTGACAGCGAAGCCTGACAATTACATACTCCTATGAATGTGGAATCAGTCTTTGTTGACAAGTGTGTCACCTGATCCTTATTTCTTACCTTAAATGAGTAACTTAGCCATTGCGGTAGTTGATGAGCCGTTCATGGCCGCCGCAGCACCATCTCTTATGGCCATTACTCGATCCCTCGCTTCCTTTCCTCCGAGTCCATCATCTCTGTCACTGGATTCTCCAACGCATCTGCACCTTCATTTCTTTTACAAAAACTATTTTGCTCGTCATCTGCTCACCATATAGAGGCCACGCTAACATTGGTACCCCCGAACAGACCGCTTCTGGGGTTGGGTTCCAACCGCAATGAGTCACGAACCCACCCGCTTGGTCATGATTCAGTATGGCTAATTGTGGTGCCAACGACTTAATATTGGATATGATAAGACTTGGGAGAAAAGTTGTGCTGAAACAAAGAACTGACAAACATTTTAGGCCGAGCTAGTTAAATGTTGGCTTTCGTAAGGGCTTTGCTTAGGAATTAGCTTAGCTTAACCGACCTTTTTACGCAATTGTGGGCAGTGAGGAGTGCGGACGCTCCAATCTTCGAAAGGGCGTTTCGACCTTTTGGGTTCTACATCTGTACAGGGTCGTCGGCCCACCATAAGGCGTCCTATCGGCCTCCCATTCAAGCCTTCTTTTAACAATTCCAACTTTGCAACTTGCTATCTGCATGCTTGTTTTCTTCTTCTTCTTTTATTTTTTGAAGATTGCTACCTATCCATGGAGGATAGGATAAAATAAATTGGAATTTTACATGCTTGTTTGTTTTGTGCATAGAGGCGTGATGTTAGGTCCCTTTTTATTATTATTATTTGAAAAGTACATAACTTATGATGCTAAGATGGCCATGGGTCTATACTCGCTAGTTGCCAGCTCGAGTAATTTGTAGCATTTTCCATGATCTCTAAGTTTTCATTAAGATATGATATGATGATCCCACTGCCACATGCCCTATTGAAACGGTGGTGACATTTGATTTTCTCATGGATACCGTGTGATTAAAATATACAATGCGACGCTGACATGTCGCCACTCCCAAAGCTAGCCATGCAATATGTTTCTCTTTTTTTTTTTGTTTTTTTAAATGTGTTAAACAAATTTAAAAAGATATTTGAGTTGAATTATATAAAACTACGTATTTACTTTGATAAGAGTCTAAATCCTCTCTCACCCTACAATCGTATCACGTGTAAATTGGCACGTAAAATGAACGATACAATACGATTAAACTCATCTGAAGAACTGTGCTAAAGCAGAAGCTTTCGTCGTGCAATTGCTATTAATTTGCAGTGCTAGCCCTCTCTGCACCCAAGAGGCTATATAGTGGCAATATTAGTAAAGTCTCCCTTGCAGTGTGCTCTCCGGTCTCCTCCAACTTTGATACTTTTTCCCAAAGTATCTGTAAACTCTGTTTAGCTTAATTAGGACTTTTCCCATCAAGAGAGTGATAGGTATTTGAAATATACACCTTAAATAGTTTTCCAAGCCTTATGCCATAACTCATGAGTCGTGTATTAATTATTAAAGTTACACAATTTGTTTTTTTGAACCAAACTGTGTCATTTTACTCACTATAGCTTACTAAAAATCTCAATTTTAGCTTAAATTTTCTTATTTTTAAATGTTGGTAAAACCAAACTTTTATATTAATACTATTATTACTATAATTTTAGGTAAAGGTAAGTATTAATCAATTCCAATTGAAATTAACCGATAAAGACTAACTAAATTCAGTTAATTTGATTTGATTTATTAGCTTTTAATTTAACCATTACTTGGTTTAATTTATTCCATTATTCTAATTTTTATGTTACCATCGAATTAATTAAAAAATGACCATTAATAATATATTTTAAAAAATATATTATATATAAATAATTTAAATAAATATTATTAAATATAATATAATTATTACTAAATATTATTAATATTTTATATATAATGTAAGGTGTTGGAAAAATAGTAAAATCGACCAAATTAATCTAATATAAGTTAATTTTGATTATTTCAATTTTAAAGTATAACTCAGTTAATTCAATTATTTTTAAAAAAATTGGATTAATTCTATTTTGAATGCTCATCCCTATTTTTAAGAAACGATTGGCATAAGGTGCGTATATAGATAGGCAATTGGCAATTGGCAATTGGCTGTAAAAAAGCGGCCAGGGATTCACGTGAGACTAGAAAAAGGAGGAACCCGTGAACATGCACTGATTCCAAGTGAAAGCAAGCAAACAAAAACAAGCATTTCACCACCCGACAAGGGCCTATTTATATCGAGGAGGACGGTACCTTGGATTCTTCTTCACTTTCAGGCTTCAGTATCATAAATAGACAGAGACCCGTGACACATTCTTTAGCAGAGATGCGCGTGGGTCAAGCCAACTTTATTTTGTGTCCTTGCCAACGCATCCACCATATCTCTCCATGTCATGCTCCTATTAAAAAACTAACTTGGAGCCCCCCAGGGCCACCTTGTTCTGATTCTCAGTTCGTACCGGCTGATATATTTGTGGATTCAGTTGAAAGATTTTTGATCAAGTATAGGAGATATTGTTTCGATACTATGCCGATGGCAATGTTCACAAAGAATTTTCCAAAATCCATCAATGTGAAGTTGATGATGCGACCAATCTTGCTGATTGGTCCCCACTCAAGAAGAATAGACGTGTTGTAGCCTGGAAAATGTAAAGGGGAGTCAATTTTGGCACTTGGGAGTGAAAACTAATCCGGACAAATTCCATGAAGGGATGCAATGATGCCAGGATTCAAGCCATACTTGTAAGGAACTTGTGACTTGTGAGGTCGCTAGTGCTGCGAAAACATGTTTTCGGCCATGTGAAACTTCCTGGCGTCCTTCATGAACCAACGAAAACTCAAAACAAAAAGAGAGAAACGAAAGAGAGAGATATTAATGTGGCAGCGAATTTTAAGTATTTGCCCGGTTAACAAGGAGAATCAAGCATCATTATTGTCATAATTCAGTTGGAACTTACTTATTTGATAAATCAAATGAAATATTCCTAGCAGCCATTACAGGGGACTATGACTTGTGAACGAGGGAGAGAAGGAATGGACTAACAGGAAATAATTGGAAAAAAGAAAATCAAATATGACACTTGACGCCTAATTTCTGTATGTCTTCATTTCTTTGATCTTGAAACCCTCCTGATTAAAACCAGCAAACAAAGCACGCGATAGAACACAAAGAACCCAACCAAGATGTAGATGTTGATCCATCTCTGCCCCTCATGGAGCCCTTTCTTTTGTAATACATCACCTCCTGTTAGCATGCAAGTCTTGGTTTCGTTGTACCATAGAAAACACCTTGACGCAAGGCAAGAATACTCATTGATAAGGAGCGCATCAAGTGCGTACTTGTACATTGAGAAAAAGTACATGAAGAGCCAGTACTTGGGCAAGCTATCCTTGGAGATGAAGTAACCAGAGAAGAGGAAAAATGCACCAAGAAGTATTGTAACAAGTGAAGTCCCGGCTATATAATTTGGTGCAATAGAGCTCAAGAAGAGGACAAATGAATTTGCCATTAGAACTATGATCCAAATGACCAAAACAAAGTAAGCAAAAGCTTGCCATGAAGCACATAGGCCCACTAAGAAGTAGACAGAAGTTGAATATATGATCGCAATGGCAAGCAAATACGGCAGGAAGACAAGGGTATTGGCTATGAGATATGATGAGAGTCTATAAACCCCACTTGAAGTTTCCCTCAGCAGAATAGGCCTTTCATTAATGAAGATCGGAAGGGTTTCAGTTGTAGAGGAGAGAAGGAAGGTGAGAGTGAAGGCAAAGAGACCAAACCTTTTTTCTATTCCTTCCTTGTCATAACCGATATTAATGTAGATCGTTCCTAAAACAAGACCCACAATAAGAGCCTCTAATGCATTGGTCAGAAGAAGCTGCCTTGTTCTGTAAATAATCTTCCAAAACCTGTTATATAGAGAGCAGATTTCATTTAGTCTTGAGCTTCTATACCTGATATCACTGGCTTCATTGGTAGAAGTAATAGAACTTTCAGATGATGGAGGGAGCGATGGTGGTGTAATTGGTTTGCTGTCATGCAGCTGGTTTAGTAATTCCATGGCATACTCGAGGGCGTTGAGCTGAGGAGGGACAGAAAACCCATTGGATAGTAAGAATGCTTGAAGTGAACAAAGTGTACCATGGTGCACAACAGTCCCTTTTGATAGCAAGAGGATTCTATCAATGGTCGAAAGAATCCTGAAGCTTGGTTGATGTATGGATAAAACGACAGTGCGGTGACGTGAAGCGGCTATGGATTTGAGGATCTGCATCACATTGAAAGCTGAAGTACTATCAAGACCCGAAGTGGGTTCATCAAGTAGTAACACAGCAGGGTCATGGAGGAGACTTAGACCTATCGAAACTCGCCTGCGCTCACCACCCGACAGCCCATGACCTAGCTTGGTATTAACCAAGTGAGTTAGCCTCAGCTCTGACAGAAGAGATGTAACAATGGTGTCGATTTCTGATGTTTTAGGGACAAGAAGGCGAGCAGCAAAAGCAAAAGTTTCAGCTACAGTGAGCAATGGCAAGCATGGATCATGTTGAGGAACATAAGCAGAGAGCTTGCGGAACGAAGAAGGGTTGATCGGAGTGGAATTGAGTAGAAGGGTGCCATCAGTTGGAGACGTTCGAGCTGCTAGAATGTCAAGAAGAGTGGACTTTCCGGCTCCGCTTGGGCCAACAATGGCAAGGATTTGTGAGGGGTTTGCGGTCAAGGAGACATTCCGGAGGATGTAGGTTGGAGGCGTCGAAGTGCAAGGTTTGAAAAGGAAATAGCCCGTAATGGTGGTGGTCAATTTGGCATAAGAGACTGAGGATGCTGTGAGCTTATATGTTTTGAGTGGTGGTGATGGTCGCGGCGGGGATGGGGAGGCTGATTGGTCTTCCATGGAGGAGGGGGAGGGATTGGTTGGAGGGAGAGGATTTTGGAAATAGAGAATGGGGTGTGGAGAGATAGGTTGATGGTACTTTCCATTAAGTTGGAGTATAATGTTGGTGGAGGATAAGGAGATTGAGAATTAAAAAGTCGGAGGAGTGCCCCTTGGTAGTTTTATTTAATCATAGTTAATAAAATAATTAGTGCTTTGTCAAGTAACCGTACGGACCAAATGCAAATATTATATCATAAGCTTAAGCGGTGATAATCTATAGTGGACCTATCAAAATTTTGAAACATGCTCTTACGTTAAATATTGTAGATTAGATTAATATATATACGTACGTACGGTTCATAGTCAAGACAGAATTTTATCAATAAACAAGAATTAAAAAATACAAACAAATTTAGAATTTTCCTCTACTTCCAAAGATATCATCTCTAAGGTCATGCCATATATAGGTGCGATAGAGGAAATTTGGCTTTGCTAAGCTCATGGACATCTACTGCTGAAAACTTAAAAGGCGACAAATAGTTCAAATGTTATTTAATTAATTATATCCAAAGTCCAAAAATGTAATTCCATCTTCAATTTCCATCACTAACTCATAGATGTAAATGGGAGACTGGATCATAATTCACTTCTTCAGAAACGAAAGTAACTCAAGCAGAAAACTGGGCATGCAGCCATGCTTCTCATTCATTCGAAGCAGTTAAAGAGCTTAAAACCGTTTTGCCTGACAATTTGGCCAGTGATCCAAAAGACAAAAAGAAGGAAAAGGGCAAAGAAGATTAAGTTGCAATACTAGTAGGTAGTTTTGTTAGGAATGGAGTTCATTAGATTATCGTTGACTTGCCGACCAAATTGGAGGAAGATGTTAGGAATCACGTGAAGGACTGTGTTTTTATCATTATTTAGCATTAGATGACAATATTTGCTAATTTGGAAGGGATTGGATGATGCGGGGCCGTTGAGAAGAAAAAGCAAAGTAATCAGCCTGCTAACCCATCACGAGATCACAGATTCTCTCTCTGTTCTCTCAAGTCTCAAGTGTGTCCTCCAACACTTAACGACGAATGCTGCATTAGATTGCTGCCAACTTGCCAGTCCATGACTTATCCCATTGGCATATGCACACATGTTCAACAATGGCAAAATTATGCCAGAGCTGACGATGACAGTTGTTGGGGAATTTTCAACACCTGATTTCATATCAATTCTCCAGTGTAGGTTTAGATCAAGTCATGTATATTACTAGTACTATTTCCAAAATACAAATCCCCATATATTTACGTAGTTTTCTTTTTTTGGCTACGTATTTACATATTGTACTTAAGAGTCAGTATGTTATTAATGCTTTTTAATTCCCTTCCAACATTAGTTGTGGCATAATATCTACAAACACTATTTGGTGTCAAATTTGCTAAATTCAAATCATCATTTATGAAACACATTCTCCCACTACATTGTTTGCATCCAAAAGAAAAACACTATTCGACTTGGACCCTAATCAAGCTAGGCCCTGAATTGAGCCACTTGAAAGCCTTGAAGTCCAAACAGGATCATATATAGTGAGTCTGTGAGTGTGAGTCAAATGGTGTTGAGGACCTATCGGCCCAGTAGGTCACCGTCCCAAAAGACCCAGGGATAGGAGAAAAAACCCTTTTCCTAAGCTTCATGTCATTCCGGATAAACAAATAGTAAGAGAAAAAAGCATAGCAAAACGTTCCAAGAGCGGGTTTAGAGTGGAATACTGATATTAGTTTGTTTGGCGTTTGAGTTATCCAACCCAAAATACATGGTCGCAAGTTGCACCTTAAAAAAATAGTCATTTTGTGGGCCAAAACGTCAAAAGTAGCTGCAATTGTTTTTGTTCTTTAATTGGACTAGACTCCACCGGATTCCATCAGCTTAATTGAAAGTCTTCGCCTCCTAATCCTAATTATCATTTGATCTTTGACTGTGTGCCAACTTCCTTCAATTCTTTTCCTTCTGCCTTTTTTCTTTTATTTTTTTTTTCCAGAAATGCATTCCAATGTGAAGGGAGTAAATTTCCTTTTTAGCTTTGCTGATTTTCCAGTTTGTTTGGAGTGTTTTTTCGTTTGTAAATTGCAGCCTTTTCATATGCGATCCCTCTTTCTGTCTCCATAAATAAAATGTTCTTATTTCTATCAAAAGAAAAAAAAATGTTTTATACTTCTTATTTCTTCATGTGTCACAGTCAAATTAGGAGGACTAATTGTGAGCTTTTACTCATTAATCTTTCTCAAGGTTAGATAGTGAAGTGAAGTCATTTTAAATATAGGTTTACTTGTTTATCAAAGTAGACCATCCACCTTCACAGGTTTTTGATGTCTTGGGTTCTGGATGGATAGTCTTTAATTTTCACTTTGTGGATATGATGCAAAGGCAAGCCACACCATCGAATCATTATAACGTATGAACATGATGTGGGTGGAATTTCACTGACTTCAGTAATCTGAATCCCCCATTTATAAGCTATCCCACAAATTGAACAGCGAATGTTAACTTCGTGGTGGAGCCATAACTTGTAATCGCAGCCGCCGTGTCTGACCACCTTCTCTGCATACGTCTTCCAGCCAATCCCAATTTTAAGTTTAATATATATATTTATAAAATTTATGTAAGTTATAAAAGGAAAACTTAAAACTTGAAAAGGATTATCACTCTCAAGAATGGTATTGTGGTGCTATTAATAATCTAAAGCCGGCTAGATCTAGGCATCTACCCCCAAGAAAGCTTCAAGCCTTTTCCTCATGAATTAATGCAAGAAAAAGTTTTTTTTTTTTGTCTAATTTTAAACCTGCTTCCAGGGGAATCTTATCTTTTGCGCCAGAAGTGCGAATATTACATTCTTGTGAGAATGGACATACTGATTGCCTTCTTCGTGAAATATTCCACATAAATATATCTAAGTAAATTTTCAAACAGCTTTCCTTTTGTCTCATATTCGTTCTTCTAGATGTTCAGCTTATACTATGCGTCTTACACACTCCCGCATGTTTACATCCTGGAATTTTGAATGCTTTAATTTGACTTCAAAGTCAAATTTGCCAATGCCAAAAGGGCAGAAAGAAAGGCTTGGTAATTATGATTTCATCTTCATCATTAAACACCCTCAATATCTACATAGGAACTCTCTTGTCCTGGCCACATGACTTTGAAAATTTGCTAGTAGAATTTTCAATTATTTGTTCTTCGGACTTATTTAATTCATTATAAATTTTTACTTTAGAAGGGTCCATATTACTCTAAAACATATCAAAAAAAAAAAAAAAACCTCCAAAACATTCTTTGGGATCGTAATTAAATAGAAAATTGCCGCTAGATGCAGCTATCACTTGCATAACTCTATAAATACACCATCTACGAGATAGACCCCCCTATACATCCCCATCCTTCTTTGCTAGTAAGCGTTTAAACTTCTTCTCGTTCATCCTCAATCCAAAAGACAAATCCTAAAAACAAAATTCTAGTGAAAATTTCGGCATGACGTCGGAAGATCGCACTACTTCTCGTCGAAAGAGAAACATCAAATGCTTGGCATATGTAGTTACCGGGGTCATAGCACAGACCATAATTATATTGCTTTTTGTGATGCTGGTCATGCGTATCCGAAACCCTAAGGTCCGTTTGGGAGGGGTCACGGTGGAAAATCTCAATTCCTCATCTTCCTCACCTTCCTTTAGCATGAACCTTAATGCTCAGGTTACTGTCAAGAACACCAACTTCGGTCACTTTAAATTCCAAAACAGCGCTTTAACGATTTCTTACAAGGGTACCTCTGTTGGCGAGGCTACTATCGTTAAGGCTCGTGCCAGGGCTCGATCAACCAAGAAGCTGAATGTGACAGTATCGGTGAGTTCGAACATGATGTCTAGAAATTCAGCCCTGAGTTCTGACAACGGTTCTGAGACTATAAATTTGAGCAGCCATGCCAAGCTTGATGGAAAGATACATTTGTTCAAGGTCTTCAAGAAAAAGAAATCGGCCGAGATGAATTGCACTATGGAAGTAAACACCTCGTCGAAACAAATCCAGAATTTGATGTGCAAATGAGATGCAATGGCAACCTTCATGTATTCTGTTTCATTTTCTGCTCAAATTAATGGTTTTGGACTTGTGATTGATTTCTTATATATAAGCGATATTATAAGATATAAAGAACGTGCTTTTCTCTTTAATCTCATATTCTTAATTTGTAGTTTGTGGATTTGTTTACTTACGTACTTGGATGACTTATGAGTCGCAATTTTTCTCCTTTTGTTGGCTTTCTTTGCTTCAAGGTTAGTCCTTCTGTGTTTCTTCGAAGAAAACTTGTATACATTTCAAGCTGTTGACTACAATTTCCACAGCTTTTAACCGTTATAGGTTATTAAATTCTGTTATTAAGTGCTTCACGGATTCTTTGTTGTTTTGGTCGTGATGAACTGACGAAGGCTTCTTGATTCTCTCGGTGGTGCTTAATCTTCGTGATCAAGGGGTTACCCTTGACATTTTTTGGGCTGATGAGTTTGCCTGTGAGCTGTGTTCGTGGTAGCGGTTTGCTGTTGAGACGGTTGCGGCTGGCTGGTTTCGTTTTTGATCCCTTCTTGGTTCGGGATGCTGGATGTGTTTCTCTTGACCTGCTCTGCTCCTGGTTGGACTGCTCTGAACAGGCTGCTGCTTTGTGATTTGAGGCAATGTTCCCTTCCTGCTCCACCTTTTCTGATTAGGATCCTTGTTGTCTTCATTGTTCATCTGTTTCGCCCACTTGGTAAATGTTGTCAGGGGGAAATTTGCATTTCTATCTATTGTTAAAGGCTCACTGCACAGCCTTTTGTGCTTATGCCAAGGGGAGTCTTACTCTGGTTTGATGCAAGACTAGTGGTGGCATTCAAACTCGATTATGTAATAAATTAACCTTTAAAAAAAAACAAGTTGCGAGTTGCCTTTGAGAAAGACAAGGTTCTAAATTGTGTTAGGTGAAGGTGCAGGTGAAACAATTAGCATAGAGCAGGAAAAAATTAGTGGCGCCACTTGCAGAAACTGAATCGTCTGGCTATCATTGAAAGATGTCAAAGTCAAGTAACAAGACCCAAGTTCGCGTGGCCGAGGAACCGCTTTGTGGTCTATAATGATGCAGGATTTATTTACTCAAAAAATGATGAAACCTGACCCACACGTTGCATTTCCCATCTGACTACTCATATGCGGTTTGTGATTTGTTTACAGATAATATAAAATACTTCTGATGATTCTCTTTGGAAAAATTACCTGAAAGATTAAAAATAACAGCATTTACATATATGTGAGGATCGCAGATTAAAAACATATTGTTAAAGTAAATATTACATGTGGAGAAGGGGGTACTCCGGTTGTTTTGACCAAATATCATCACTTCCAGTTCCAACCCCAGCATCTAGATGCGCAGGTCCTCCGATGTTTCCAGCACCGCCCTCGAAAAGATCAAATTTCATGTCCTCGGATCGTTTCCAATGCCGCTTCCTCTGGTTGATGAACCAATTTTTGATTTGTTTGTGATTTAGTCTTGTTACTTCCTATGCTTTAAATCTAATTTTGTTAAAAGTTAAATATAAAAAATCACATAATAAATGATGTAGTGAAACACGATACAAAAGATGACACGATGAAACACGACATAAAACATAAATATGATGAAACACATGATAAATATCGTACGAAATATAATATAAAAGATAATATTACAAAACACGACATAAAAGATAAACGTAATGAAACACGATATAAAAGAGAACATGATGAAACACAACATAAATATTTGATATACAAATAATGTTATAAGAACCAATGATAATAAAAATGTCAAATAAACTACAGTGATAGAAGAAGTTAATACATGGACAATTGAGACGTGAGATAGGAGTGAAGTATGTGAAACAATGATTGCCAAGATGGGTGACTTTGATGCCATGTTAGAAGTAAAAATCTTAAATAATATCTTAGGGGTTTATATAGCAATTTGATCTTAATAGCAGGAGTAATCATTAAAATGGTAGATATTAGATACAAAAGAATAACATGGCTAGTATCTGTTGAGCCTGTTCTGGTCTGCTAGTTGGTCTCTTTATTGAACTTCTCTTAACTAAGTTGATAAAATGTATTCCATTGTCAACGAAAAACCACAGAACTAAGGTTCATTTTATGTGAGTGTGACTTACATTTGGAGATATGAGAAGTCATCAAGAAGGATAAGAGATGAGAGAGCATGGTTAATCCATTTAACTACTCTAGCCAAATTGATCAAAATTATAGAGAGAAGAAATGGCTTTCCTATCATGCAAGTTGATTTATTAAAAATAAAAAGTCTTTGATAAGAAAATGAGTATTCAGAAAATAAAAAAGAAAAAGAAGTTACAAATGACAACAAATCCTTGATTGAGATATTACAAAATACAAAACAGCAGAGCTGGCCTTTAAGAGCATTTTATATCTTGAACCAATGTTTTTGCCAAATTAACTGTAAGGGTGCAGTTCATTTCTGCGGATCTCCTCCTACCATTTGCCTTCCTATGTTTTCCTAAAGACATCAAATACCCCTTACCATTCATTTTGGACTGGCTGGTCAATGTCAAAAACCCAGACCTTATATCTCTGCCTAGATTTGTATCATTTCTTCTGTTGTTTGGATTCAAATGCATTGCTGCAATTAACTTTCTTTTAGTTAAACCCCTCTTGCCCTTGGGATCAAGACCAGCTCAAGCTGCTTGCCCCCGTAAGCGAACGTTATGTTGGTAATTCCATATCTGAAGTAACCAAAATTTGGGTTCTTGACATTCATTTCAGCAGTAAATGTCATGTTTAAGGAAGGGTTTGGAGAGGAGCCATAGTTGAGATTCTCAACCATAACAGAGCGCACTCGGAATTTCGGACTTTTTATGTTCAACACTAGTATTGAGAAAACTACAATTAATAGAATTATGACCAGGGAAGCAGCGATTATAGCCAGATTCTTTCGGTTGAGCTCATAGGACGGTTTGCTGGTGGACTCTTCGGATTGCGTCCCTGTAAACTCATTAGATTGCTCCAATTCAGTCTTTTAGGAATGCATCAGAGCAGACTCCTTGTCATAAGCAGTGGCTGAGCCATGAGACACAACTTGGTTGTTTAAATACCATGAAAAATTGGTTTAATTCTTAAAAAGGGCAAACAATCTGAAACTTTTTGAAGGGCTTCGAAGGGATTGATAATGAGTAAGTAGGCATGGCAATGGGATATATATGTATATAAGGAAACCAGAAACCCTACCCAATCAAAGGATGGAAACCTCCATCAATATCTGAGCACTCCCCCACGAACAAATCCCTGCAAAGAAAAACTGAAGCAGAAGCAATCGACCTTTACCCATCTACCAACAAGGGAACAGTAACATGGACGCAAGTCGCCCAATCAACCCTCCCACACAAAGGAAAAATAAAAACTAGTCAAATTCAAAAGCCTCCTCAAACCTAACCACCCATTGGAGGTTACAGAAAGAGAGACTACACAACCCAAAAAAAACCCACTAGATGGCAACATCCTCAATGAAAGCACAAACACGACGTGAGAAATTAAGTCTCCCTTACCCTCAGCCGGCCAATTCCTTTGCAGATCCACTTGACGCCCCTGCTTATTCCCTAGTCCATGTTTTGATTTATTTATTTTTGTTTTCCTCTTTTTTAATTTTCTGTCATCGCCAAACATTAATGATTTCTAATTAATTAATACCTTTTAAATTCAATCAAAACTTGTAGATTTATGTTTCTTTTCTTTTGCAGTCTTCTTTTTTTCTTATAGTTTACGGCTGCAGTTATGACTTGATCCTGTTTTCATGTGTATATGTATAATTTGTTGGAAGACTTGTTCCTCACCGTGGCTGCCTCTGAATTTAGCAATAATTATTGTACCTCGTATAGCAGGTAAAACAATAATAATAACAAGAAGAAAAGATTAAGAACACTTTGCCATTGTATTTGTTGTCGTCCACCTTAAAATCTTTTGGGTTTAATGAGTCTGATCAATTTGTTATTGAATATCAATAAAATATGTTATCAAAATATCCAAAAAAAGGAAAAAAACCCCTGTCAGTTTTATTAGAAAACCGTTTTTTCAAGTAGGCGTGTATTCTTTTCATGAAAAGAATAACAGTCTGACTTCATCTGTCCCCCAAAATTCGTACTAAGTCCTGTTTCATTTCCCATTTCGCAGGGGCTGAATGCTTAACAAATGCAGAACCAGTAGAAGTTAAAGTGCCTTCTTGATCTTCTGACCATCCAGTTGAAATTTTGCACATGATCTCAGAATATTTAACTTTGCCTACATGCTGAACTGCCATGATACGTTGTTGGGTAGGTAAAAATGTCGTGAATAAACATACTGCGGAAAATTTCTTTTCCTCTGAAACAATCAAAGCCGTGTGCAGGTAAGATTTAATTGACCGACTGGTTTTTTATGCTTAAGCTGCATTCTAGTGCAAATAAGCTCCTTTCGATCAGTTGATCAATATTTTGTTTTAAACATATCTCGTTGAAGAAGTTTTTGGTCTCAAATTTATGCACACCATGAGTCCTCAAATGTTGATCTCATTTTGACTTTATTAGCTGAGTTCTCTTTGTTTGACCACTGCCCACTTTAGTTTAAATTAAATTTCATATTTCTTTCGAGAAGAATTTACTTGACGAAATGCTTCAAAAATCAAGAGAAACGATAAAGACTTGAAATGTCAAAAACACCCGATACAGGAGACGATTAATCTTTTCAAGTAATCATGCAAATGGAATTGACAAAATAATTAAAATAAATGAATATTCGGTACAAGACAAAAAATGATGTTACCTATGATTGAATAGAACATAATAACAAATTAAAAAAAGAAAAGCAAAGAAATCCATGATTGAACAATCACACAGCAGCAGGGCTCTAAGGGCATTTTATATCCTGGACCAAATTTTCTGCCAAATTAACTGTAAGGGTGCAGTTCATGGCTGCAGATCTCCTCCTACCGTTCACCTTCCTCCTTCCTGAAGACATCAAATACACCTTACCGTTCATTTTGGACTGACCGGTTAACGTCAAAAACCCCGACCTGATGTCACTGCCTAGATTTGTATCATTTGTTACATTGTTTGAATCCAAGTCCATTGTCGCAGTTATCTTTCTTGTGCCTAAGCCCCTGACTCTTGCCCCTGGGACTAAGACCCGTACAAGCTGTACGCCCCTGTAAGCGAAAGTAACATTGGTGCTTCCGT